CCGGGGGCTCTGCCCCCATGGACTCCACCTATAGGGCCCTACGGGGGCCCATAGATGCTTATCTGACGGTAATTTAATGCCTAAAACCCCTGATTTGGGGGGGGGGGGGCTCTGCCCCCTGTACCCCACGCCAATAGTGTCCTACCAGTGTCACAAAAAAAATAAGGTATACAAAAAAAAAGCTCATCGGACCTTAGTTAAACGCCTAAAACCCCTGAGCTTCCGGGGCCGGCTCCGCCGTCTCGACCCCACCAGGGGCCCTAAGGCGGGCCCCTGAATGCTTATCTGACCGTAAATTATAGCCTTAAACCCCTGAGCTTGCGGGGTCGGACAAGGTATCAAAATATGTTTATCGGACCGCAGGCACGTAGCCAGGCGGGGGCGTAGGAAGAAAAAGGAGCAGACAAAGGATATCTTTGAAATTCAGAATCAAGAACGGTACAGCAAATCGTCTTCTTTCTCTCTTAATCTTAATGAAACGTCAAAGCTTCCGCGCTTTGCGCGCGGGAGGGGGGGGGGGGAACCTGAATTCAAACGAGGATCCAGAGGCGAGAACTATAATACGAATCTTTAATGATTTAACGAAACATAAAAGCTTCCGCGCTTCGTGCGGGATAGAGGGGGAACAAAATTCCGACGTGGATTATTTTCGAGAACGGTACAACGAATCGTCTTCTTTCTCTAATGATTTAATGAAAATTAAAAGCTTCCGCGGGAGGGGGGACCTGAATTCAGACAAGGAATAAGAGTCGAGAACGGTACAACGAATCGTCTTCTTTCTTTAATATTTTGATGAAACGTCAAAGCTTCCGCGCTTCGCGCAGGAGGGGGAGGGGGGGGGGGACTGAATTTAGACAAGGATTAAGAGTCGAGAACGGTACAACGAATCGTCTTCTTTCTCTAATGATTTAAGGATTCGTAAAAGCTTCCACGCTTCGCGCGGAAGGGGGAAGACTGAATTCAGACGAGGATTAAGAATCGAGAACTGTACAACGAATCGTCTTGTTTCTTTAATATTTTGATGAAACGTCAAAGCTTCCGCGCTTCCCGCAGGAGGGGGAGGGGGGGGGGGACTGAATTTAGACAAGGATTAAGAGTCGAGAACGGTACAACGAATCGTCTTCTTTCTCTAATGATTTAAGGATTCGTAAAAGCTTCCACGCTTCGCGCGGAAGGGGGAAAACTAAATTCAGACGAGGATTAAGAATCGAGAACTGTACAACGAATCGTCTTGTTTCTCGAATGATTTAATGAAACGTTAAAGCTTCCGAGCTTCGCGCGGAAGAGGGGAAAATCTAAATTCAGACGAGGATTATTTTCGAAAACGGTACAACGAATCGTTTTCTTTCTCTCATGATTTAATGAAAATTAAAAGCTTCCGCGAGAGGGGGGGGGGGGACCTGAATTCAGTCGAGGATTAAGAGTCGAGAACGGTACAACGAATCGTCTTCTTTCTTTAATATTTTAATGAAACGTCAAAGCTTCCGCGCTTCGCGCAGGAGGGGGAGGGGGGGATGAATTTAGACAAGGATTAAGAATCGAGAACTGTACAACGAATCGTCTTGTTTCTCGAATGATTTAATGAAACGTAAAAGCTTCCGCGCTTCGCGCGGAAGGGGGAAAATCTAAATTTAGACGAGGATTATTTTCAAAAACGGTACAACGAATCGTCTTCTTTCTTTAATATTTTGATGAAACGTCAAAGCTTCCGCGCTTCGCGCGGGAGGGGAAAAATCTAAATTCAGACGAGGATTATTTTCAAAAACGGTACAACGAATCGTCTTCTTTCTTTAATATTTTATTGAAACGTCAAAGCTTCCGCGCTTCGTGCAGGAGGGGGAGGGGGGGGGGGACTGAATTTAGACAAGGATTAAGAGTCGAGAACGGTACAACGAATCGTCTTCTTTCTCTAATGATTTAATGAATCGTAAAAACTTCCACGCTTCGCGCGGAAGGAGGAAAACTGAATTCAGACGAGGATTAAGAGTCGAGAACTGTACAACGCATCGTCTTGTTTCTCGAATGATTTAATGAAACGTAAAAGCTTCCAAGCTTCGCGCGGGAGGGGGACAATCTAAATTCAGACGAGGATTATTTTCGAAAACGGTACAACGAATCGTCTTCTTTCTCTAATAGTTAAATAAACTTAAAAGCTTTCGCGCTTCGCGCAGAGGGGGGGGGAACCTGAATTCAGACGAGGATTAAGAGTCGAAAACTCTACAACTAACCGTTATCTTTCTCTAATAGTTAAATAAATCGTAAAATTTTCCGCGCTTCGCGCGGGAGGTGAAAAACTTAATTCAGACGAGAATTTTTTTCGAGAACGGTACAACGAATCGTCTTCTTTCTCTAATAATTTAATAAACGTCAAAGCTTCCGCGTTTCGCGGAGGAGGGAGGGGGAAACTCGCCCCTCCCTGCACCGACCCCCCCCCCCGCATTATGTCACTGTTGGTCACCATTACGTACCAATATTTGGCTCGCAAAATTTCAAATTTGGGCCCCCCCCCCCTAAGAAATCCTGGATCCGCGCCTGCCCTGAACTACCACCTCGTACAACCACCCGTACACAAACAACCTAGGGGTATAATTTGCTACGGTAAAGTTGCCCGGGGGATATTGTCCTATTAGGTATTCTTCTTGGGGTCAGATGTCCGGGATGAGAGTCCGGAGTGGGAGTCCAGGGTTTTGTTATTCTAGAATTAATACATTTCTCCCTTTGAGAATAACTCTTCATTGTACATTGACATCGGTAAATTAGGCAGATTTTGATGGGTCTCCAGCATTTCTCCGGAGAAGGCATATTTAGTAATATCTGCCCCAAGGAAGACGCAATTTCATCAAAATATTTATGCAAATTGACATTACAATCAGATGAGTCGGTACATATGAGGACAATTACCCCCTAAACAATCACCCCCCCCCCCGGACCCCGAGGACAATTGCCTCTCGGAAATTTACCCCCAAAGACAACCACCCCCTAGGACAATGACCCTCCGGAAAATTACCAATCCAGGACGACCTCCCCCCCCCTACACCCTTCCCCATGGACAATTACCCCCTTAGACAATTGTCACAGGACAAGATATCATGTGCGACCCCCCTCCCACACACACACACACGAGGGTGGTTGTCCCAGAGGGTGATTTCCGGAGGGTAATTGTCCAGGGGGTATCGGGGTGAGTGTCCTCGGGGATCGTCCGTGGGGTTAATTCTTCTTGGGGGCTAATTGTCCCGCTAGTAATTGGCCGTGGTGTGATTGTCTAGGTCGAATTGTCCTAGAACCGAGTCAGTAACACATGAATGATTTTAGCCCAAAATAAAATGTCCTAATGTCATTCCTTCTTCTGAAACAAACAAAAAACGATATTCAGAATAAAAAATCTGCCTCGATGTATAATTTTATTTTCAAAGAGCAAATATGGCTAACCTCATAGTTTAACTACACAGACAAAGATATTAAATTCTTTCATTTTGTAGATACATTTTATATGATTATTAGAAATACGTAATGGGTACTTAATACCAATTCGTAAAATCCCCAACAAAGACCACAATGTTTCGTCATCTTCCGGGATTCAATACTTGCCTCTTCCTGTGGACGTGCATGTCTAATCTCTCCTGTATGATTTCCTGAAAGTCAATATGGGGTTTTTAGCTTGCGAAAGGAAAGACATTGAATTGAAGGCGTAGCGAGGGTACTTCAAATTTGTTTCGATATATGCAGGCTAAGACCTGTAATAAGTAACTTAACCCTGAGGCAAATGATGAAATGAATATTATAATAAATATGCTCCATTTGTGGTCCATAACTCGTTCGTTTCGGACAAATAAGCCTATTTAATAATAATGTTGAACTATAGACACATACCCCTTGTTGTCCAATCTTTATGTTTATTGAAATTACATAAGATCGGGTAAGCGAATCAAGTAGACCCCTCGGTTACTTTATAACGCTTTTGAAAATTCCTTAACACCTTATGATTATGGGGTCGAAAATATGAAAAACTAAAAGTGTGAGCATTACTAGACAGCTGCAAATCATCTCCATTACTTATGATTTTACTTTTCTATGAAAGGGAGGTGCAATATCCCCTTTATGTTCAATATTAGTATTATTATTACTCTTATTTTATCGTTTTCCCTACAAGTTTCCACATTAGCAGGGCGATTCTAGAGCGGGGATATTTGATAGCCCTAAGCCTGATAGGAGGGTTTCTGAAGGTCTCGTTCTGTATGAATAGGGACTTTTAGATTCTGCACGACGAGAACGTGGACTGCCCTTTTAAGGCAATGTGACGTCCTTTTAAGGCACTGGCAGTGAGAATGGGGTGGTGTAATGTCAATATGGCAAGATGGGGCTATGCCCATGAAGGAGATACTCTCTGCGACTGCGGAGAGACCCAGACGATGGACCACATCTTGCAGTGCGGCGGAACGGGTTGCACAGATGACGACCTGGCCCTTGTTAATGAAACGGCCATTGCAGCAATCGGGCTATGGAAGAACTTAATTTAGTTAATTTACTTTTAATTAAGGAACTTTACATAACTATCTTGATCTAAGGAGACACGAACGAACTGGCAGTGACGTCACATTGCCTTAAAAGGGCAGTCCGCGTTCTCGTCGTACAGAATCTAAAAGTCACTAATGAAAGCACGTCCTTTAGCGTATCACTTGCCACGAACTTGCCATCCCTCCAAACATACGCACACTTTTGAACACAACACTGATGCTGCCTCGGTATAAAGACCTCAAAAGTATCATCCTTTTCTTAAATGACAGACTATGCCCTCTTTTTCTTTCTGTTTGGGTGCTCCCCCATCTCTCTCTCTCTCTCTCTCTCTCTCTCTCTTCAGACCCCGAAACTATCCATATTAAATGTGAAACCATTTTTTGTTTGTATCCGCCGCACATGATATGCTTTCGCTTCTCTCTATTTCCTTTCGCCTGCAAATTCCCACAGCAACCAGAAATGAGCCCAGAAATAGAAATAATCTTTGACCACTACTCTGAAACTGAAACTGATTATAACATAAAAGGCTTATTGAGATATGCAGACCACCATTTACCGTCTGAAGTTGTCACCGATAGCCGAGCACAAAGGATAAGCCTCATTCCATTCCAGGTTTGTTGCATTCTTGACATTTATTATTTTAAAAATGGGGTTTTGAGAGAGACAGAGAGACAGGCAGATAAAGAGACGAAGAAGAAAAGGAAGCTCGGGTGCTTGATTTCTGATTTTGAATGCATGATTATATACCTTTTTTGTATTCATCTGATCATTATCACTGGACGTCATGTAGATCCGATGTGAATCAGAAGTTTTTTAGTAACTATTCTATTTGGCTGGTTGGTGGTGTTGTCAATGGTGATGGTGGTATCGGTATTGGTATTTTCCACTCCATATCACAATATTAAAAACAATACAAAGAAAATGCATGTACATAGTAAAATCAATGGTACAGTGAATAGCTGTGTAACCCATTCAAAACTGTTCTTCCCTGGGTTCCAGATTGGTGGTGGAGATTGTGATGGCGACAGAAATGGTTATGACCTTCTGCAAGTTCGATAAGTGTTGATGGTGTGTCAGCGATGAATTTGATCACGTTAAGAGATAGATAGACCGGGCATGGTGGTTCAGTGGTTAGAGCGCCCGCCTCATGAACGGGAGGTCGTCGGTTCATACCAAAAGTTTATAACAATGGGACCTTCTGTCTTCTCGTTAGGCGCTCAGCATATTAGATTGGAGAAGGGTAGTAATAATAACATATTATGTTATGCAGGGCCCGCTGGAAGAGCAGTTTGATAACTGAAGTGGCTACCCTGGGTAAATAAAACGTTATTATTATATATTATTATATTATACAAACATATTGATTTGGGGTTACAGTGATCATTTTATCATTACATTCAGTCATTCAGACATCTACCGAGAGGACGATTACAAACATGGAAGAATTTTCGCCATTCCGTGCTGTCTTCAACCTGTACGAGACCACTCCGCCGGCTCCTGGGTTCGAGTCCTTCCTCGAAGGAGTAAAGCACACTTTCGATTTCGTCGAGAAGGACCCCAGCTTTGTCGTCGGTCAGCTTCACAAGAATCTTGATCCTGAAGGTAAAAATATTATACATTAATCTATTATTTTTAAAAATGGTGATTTTCTTTCCCCAGTAGCTGAACGACGTTTTTTTCTATTCCATATTTCCGATTTGGAAAGGAAATGGGTTTGCCTATTCGTTGTAAAGGTGACCTGATAAGTGTATTAAATGGATAGTTGAGTTCTTGTTTGAGACCGAAAATGCCTTCAAACTGCATGGTTATTTCTCTTTTTCTTATTCATGACATTTCTTGTGCCCTTTTAGGATACAAAATTGCTATGAAGTTAATTCTAGAACCTAAACTGTGTGAAATTAAGACAGGGGCGGATCCAGCCGGCGGCGAGGGGGGGGGGGGGCACAATTCGTGAGAACATTTTTAGCGGTGACTTAGCCGACCGGCCGAATAAGCGGGGGGAGGGGGGGGGGGGGGAAATGAGCACTTTTTTGTTTAAACTCAAAATCCCCCATCACCCTTTAAGCAAATTAAAAAAAAAAATTACACTTTCCTTCTATTTTTGCAAGGGGGAGGGGGCCCGTCTTCTTTTTTTTAAAGGTAAAATTAACTTTTCCATCTTTTTTAAAACCTTTTTTGGCCAGGGGACACGGGCCCCTGACCACCACCCCCCCTCCACCCCCACCCTTTGCTGGGGATCCAAGGTATTTTCAAGAGTGGATCAGTGGATCTTCGCTATGGTTCATTGTATACCATAATGTTTGAACTGGTCTATTCATTCTCATTGTGACGAATTAGGTCTTTTCAAGTTTGCACACTATGCTAGTTTCCGCGACGGTAGTTTTCAGGCTTTCAAACGGGAACCTTCACCGGAATGGCTTGCAGCCATCGAGGAGGGACATGGCAAATGGGGACATCAGATCAGACACCCAGGTGAGTGTGCATTTCTTCCTTGCTCTTCCTGCTCTTTGTCGATCGCCTCCTATCTCTTTTCTCTTCCTCCCAGTCAATCACTTGGTTTACTTTCCTCCTTTACCCCAACCTTTATCTTCCGTAGTTCTTTTCCCCTTCAATTACACTCCCTTTCCCCTTTCTGACTCCGCCCCTTTATCGTCCTCACTCCCTTTTCTTCCTCACTCCCCATTCCTCCTCTCTCTCTCTCTTTCTCCACCGCCGCCACCTCCACTTTAATTGTCATCACCTCCCTTTTCTACCATCCCCAATATGTTGCCATCGCCATGTTACTCCGCCCCCACCCTTATAAAAAAAGAACCATGGTAACCATGTTTTTGTTGGTACAAATTACCATCCATCATGGTAACCATGGTATCGAACGATGATAATTTCATAACATTCCCCCCCCCCCCTTTCCCTCCGCCCTGCTAGTCCCTCTCTCCTTGTCCTTCGTTCTTACATTTCTTCTCTTAATTTTCTCCATCCCCAGAAATTACCCAATCATTCACTCATTCATTCGTCCAACTAGCCATTCATCCATCCATCTATCCATTCATTCATTCATTCGTCCTACTAGCCATTCATTCATCCATCTATCCATTCATTCATTCATTCGTCCAACCAGCCATTCATCCATCCATTCATTCATTCATTCATTCTTTCGTAATTTTTTTCTCACGGGATCGAACACCCTCATATCAAACGATAATTTCTACAGGAATTCATCGAATCATTATTCATGATTTTGTCCCTCTACTATTCCGCAGTAAAAAGTGTTTTTCACATACATGTGTATATAATTGTTGGCTTTTGTCTGTTCTAGGTGGTTTTGAAGAGATAGCAAGCTGGTCTGGTGAGAAGTGGTGCCCAGCGACTCGGGTAGCTGACAACAGCATCTTCCTTCTTTCCATGTTCAAGGTGAATAGTGTTCAAATTTCTAGTAAACAATAAATGCAAAGGTCCGTATTCTACTAATTCAAGCAAACCTGTCTCCGAGTCTAAAGTCAAGTTAAGAAAACTTTAGACCTCAGACTTAAGTTCCTTTGCTCAACTTGCATTTCCCCCGGTCCCCAACAGGAAAAATTCCTCTGTAGGGCCATGCATTATTGTTGTAGGCATGCCCACATAGAGGATTTTGTTTATATCTTAGGGTCGGGGCAAAATGCAATGCATTATTGATAATAATTGCATTTTCTTTGCTTTTTGTATTTGTGGGGGCGGCGACATACCCTAGCCCCCGCTGCTTACAGTCATGATTCAGTGGATAAGCAATGGCCTCGTTACTGTGAGCCCCCAGGATCAAAACCGTGTCGATGTGCTATATTAGTGCTCTTTTAAGAGGCATTAATCCTCATTACTGTCAGTTATGACTTAAGGACGTAGGTCCCCTAGTTGATTAGCATAATAGCATAAACATGCCTTAGCAGTCACGCAAAACAAACACTCACAAATTATTATTCAATAGAATCTGAGAATGTATACTATTATCTAGATCTATTAGGAATAAATCATTGTCAAAATCATTCCACAAATTGGGGTAAAAATAATTATTTGACCATTATGACCAACAGTGTACAATCCGTTACAATAATCTATTAAAGTGCGAAGTTACAAATGCGTGGATAAATCGTTCTGTAGACTGTCTATCCAAATATTTTCGAAGTTTTAATAATCCTGTAGATACCAAAGCCAGCCGTCCGACAAGCATTCCTGATGTGTTGTTTAATATTTAGTACATTATCAACAGTGACGCCGAGGTTTTTCTTAAATGTCTGTAAAAAAATACGATTTTAATTTCTTATTTTTGTACATGCATGTCGGGACCCCACTGGAAATAAGCTCTCGAGCGTTTGTGGGTTACCCTGTTCAAGTTATTCTTTTATATGGTTGTGTGTTGAAGTGAAATATGACTTTCCCGTCGTGCTCAAATGTAAATAGTCACAATCTTGAAAAAACAAGGAGGAAAACTGTTCAGTTTGTCTCTGAAAAAGCATCATATAATGTTGTTCGGAGTTGTAATGGTACAAATGCACTTTATGAATGTGTCTTCATTACATCTATCACGATAAATATGAATGATAAAAGTGTTTATATCAGATTGTATCGCATGGTACAGGTTTTAAATTCAAATTCGTCTCTATCACAGGATGTGCCTGAGGATTTCGAGGAAAACTGGAAGACATTGTCGGGAGCAGTAATCTTATCAGAGAGCTTGCCTGAGGGTGTGGTCTTTCACCAAGCGGGACTCTACCGGAAACTAGGTGGCCCCACCCAATTTAGGTAGATATAATATTAATTCCAAATCTATGAAATGGCTCGATGTCTACAGACCAATCCGTAATAAAACGTATTCTATTACAAAAACGTAGCTGATGTGATGATGATGATGGTAGTAGGGTCAATGTTTATGATTATTATAATAAAGGGGGTTATTATATGTTAATGCTTATGATAAAAGTATGCAAACATCCCTTGAGTATAAAGCTAGTACTTCTTTTCAAATGAGATACATGTATTTTATTTGGATCTTCTGATTCATCACATTTTCCGTTAAAAAAGATTGCATAGTGATATTTACATTAATTTCTATATTCCCAGATATATCCTCCGATGTGAAGTGCTTCCGGTGTCAAGTGATGCATCTGCTGTCCTCGGTTCTCTCGGCGACATCCGGAAGAAACTATCCGAAGATGGGGTTCCTTTCGTGGACTTGTCGGCTTACAAGATCATTGACGTCTCCGACGAGATAAGGGAAAGTGCGGTTGTAGAGCCAGAAGGAAAAGAGAGTTCTGTTTAGAATTTCATCGATGAAAATGAAAATATATGTAACAATTGTAAAGCTATCCTGATTAACTGATGTATTTGAATTAGGAGAGAAGGCTGTTCTAATAATAGAAAGACTATGTTATGGCTTGCGCGTTAATTCAACATTTATACAAAGGATATACGCAAAAATGTTCGAAATTATGATCAATTTCATTTTTGGCGGAAGCAGTTTACTAATCTTTGGTCTATCAGTACCCATCCCATTTAGAATCAATAAGGCACTCCACAAGTATGCCAAACAAATGAGCCCCCTTTCAAATTTCTTTTAGAAAAAGCATGTTAACCTTCATTTTGCTTCTCAGAGTCTTTTTTTTCCTCCTCTTTTTGACCGTCTCTTCTTTCTTTTATTTGCCTGACCTCGATCCCTCCCTGAAACAAAACTATGTACATATTTATATATACATATATATATATATAAATGCCTTTCCCTGGTCCTAAAGATTGTATAATTTATGTTTTTTAAACGATTTGTCGACACGTTCCCTACACATATTCCACGTAAGATATTCTAACAAGATATTTTGTATATTCAGGTCCCTTCTTTACATTACTGATATTAGAACTGGAATTACTTTCTAGAAGAATGATGTTTGTTTGACCGGTGGGCATCTTTCATTAATTTTAAAAACAGAAATTAACTATACTTTTGTACAAGACGAACCCGAGAGTTGTTCATGTAAACGTCACAATCCAATGAACACATTGACACATTTGAGATTTGTATAAATGTGATCTCATATTTCAAAAATGTATAAGTCTTATTATTGGTCCGATATATTTTTCAAACTTTTGCAATTCTGTTCCTCTTATTTCTCTAATTGTATACAGAATGAACTTCAATGGTTGGTTTGCCCTTTAATAATCGAGATTTGTTTGGTCTACAACCGCTACTGTACTGTAGTGATCGAAACTGGGCCACACGTGGACTTTTGGGACAAAATGATGTCAACACACACTAAAAGCGTGTTTGCGTGTTGAAATGATGGGCCCCATGTGATGCTGGAGATTGTCCTCGGTTGGCCGATAAGTCATGTGGGCAGTGGCGATGTGGGGATGGGGAGGGTGACGGAGGCTAGGGACATGGTCACACTCAAATAAGGCCTACTTATTTTATTTTGACTAGCTAGTTATCAGACCTTCAATGACCAATATATATTTATATGTATTTTTTTAAAAATTTATTTATTTATTTTTATTTATTTATTTATTTATTTATTTATTTTTTTTTTTGGGGGGGGGGGGGTCAAAAAGACACCCCTGTAAATAAAGATATTAAGCTTTCAAAAAGCCCCTTTAAAAAGGGTTATACTGCAACAAAACCATTCAAATAATCCAGTCATGGTGATAGGCTGTGTATTTTCAATGTCACTTTTTGAATTATATTAGATCAAATATTAGAATGCAACTTGTGTACATGACGTTTGTTTCACAACCTGGAGTTCTTAATACGTGCATAATACAATCAAAACCAACACAAGATTCAATTGTAAGTCACTTTGTTTTATTATTCATTTTTTATTGCCAATGTAAAGTTAATATGATTAACAGTATGAATGGCATTAGCCGCAATGTATATTACAGTCCCACATACTTGAAGATTACTTCCCCATGCTGCTTTTGATGAAATTGCAGGACAATATTGATAACATACACATGTAAATGAATATGAAATTTTGATGTTGCAGATGATTACAATTAAAGTTTCGATATTAACATGTGGGATTATATTGTCTTCATTCTGTACTTATAACACAAAGAGTTCTTTTCATTATCTAAAAAAAAAAAACTTACAGCAAACTTTTGTTAATATACCTGACAAAAGCTAGCAAAACCGGGAGAGTGTGTAAAAAGAAATAAGTGGTATTTAATTTCTCTAGGTTAAGCAGACTCGCAGAAGATTTTGAAAGTTCATTTCTCAAGGGTGACATTAGGAGTTACTCTTTGCAGCTTTCATTTCTTGTAATATATCATTCTTTTAACAGTATTCAGGTATGGTGAATGTGGATCTTTGCCACTTTAATATCTCAACATTAATTACCAAACACCTATGAAACATCATGATCTCCATACTCGAGCACAGAAGATATGCGTTACTATGTCAGGCATGCAGCTCTGGAAAGTCTACCCAAACTGACAAGCTATTTTACTAGTGATGCAGGATGAATCATACTTTGTTTTACCTTACATAGGCAGTGCTCTACTGGCGACCATGTTGGTTAGAACTATACACAAGAATCCCATATAAGTGTTGAATATAAAACATGTTTTAGAGGCCACCTCCCTATAAAGGCCACCTGTCTATAGTGATCACCTCTATCGTCTCCCTCTCAAAACAAACATATATTTTGTATAAATCTGTCTAGAAAGGCCAGCTGTCTACAGGCCAGTTTTCTTGTCTCCCCTGGTTGGCCTTTGTTTTATCAGTACACATTTGTCATCCCTTTATAAAAAGACTAAGACATAAAAAATGACGGCCTACATTTATAAAGGCAATTAAACCTGGTTCGACTTATTCATGGTGCTTGAAGTGTCACCCTTTTCACATAATAAAATTTACTGGTTTTCGGTAACAAATTTAATATGCAAAGTGAATGATGCTGTGAATGAAAATGAAAAGATAATTTCATTTTTGTTTATTCACTGTGAAACATAACAATAGCAATTTTTACAGGCTGGAGAGGCCGACAACTGGCACCTCATAATCACTAAACATACCCATCCCAAATCTGAACTTTATGTAATACTTGAAAACTGGACTATATTAGTTATTCACACAGCATAATATGTCTTTAATCTCACAAATGTCATATATTAATTATTACAAATGATCTCTTCTTATAAATATTTCCACAATTGCCACAATAACTGGATATGCACATTAATGTTTTTAGAAATAAGTCTCCTTTTAGACGAACAAACTTTTTTAATGACTGAAAGACAAATATATTTTGTCAGAAAGCATAGAAGTATTTAAGCAAGTACAAAACCAATGATATCCTCCGTAAATTACCATAAGTTGTGTGCAGATACTTTACATATATATTCATATTTATGCTTTAATGCATATTCATACCCAAAAGCAGATTTGGAACATTTCATGTAAAGGAATGGTATATCTTCAAATTGCATTTAGTGGAATTATATAGCTGTGTTGGTAATTTCACTATGGAATGATGAAATAAAACGCCAGAGCATGACACTTAACATAAATTACCCTTTTCCCTTTTAAGAAACCTCACATACACTATACACAGCTCTAGCATATTTATATAAAACTTGATGTTATATTTATACATCTAACTCATTAAACAATTAAAAAAATCTTTTGTTCTAGAGAGCAGTACATTATAATCTTGGTCTATAACATGTTATTATTGTTAGTCGATATAGCAGTGTCAGCCCATTAATAAGAGACAAAATAGTTTGATTTGTGTATCATAACCTCAAGACATCCAGGCATTAATGTATTAGTTATTCAGTCATCTGGGGGTCAAATTTCATTTTGAATTGAAAGACCATGTACTGTACTTGCTAATTTTGGCAGTATTGCAAGTCTTTAAAAGTTTTTCCATAATCACGCACATAAATGAGGGTGGCAATTCCTGCTTTTAAAACAATTTGGATACACACTGATTTTTCCCCACTATTTAAGAGTGAAATACAGTACAAGATTTAGTTCCATTAATTTCCAACAATTTAACGAGCGAAATAGAACTGGGCAATGTGGTTGATAAAAATTCATGCAGATATATAACTATTTACATACAAAATTAGAAAGATCAACACTCATCAAAACTTAAAATTCTATAGAGAAAAATAATAGGAACAACTATCTACATAGTTTCAAAGATCACTGGAAAAAAGACAAATAATGAAAATTAAACCTATAAATCAATATAGAAACCAAGTCCATACATTCCTTAGAAATATCAAGAAAATATGAGCATAAAGCAAAGAGTTTGGTCTTATGGATACAATAGCAAAATTTGTACATGATGTCATAAGTTTGCATCATCAAAGTTTTCAAATAGTATCACAGGTACATGTATAGGTGAACATTTTTTCTAGTCATACTTAATTAGTATTAGTATAATGATACATCATACAGAATCTGAATTTGAACATGCCCCACAAAAAAATGACTGAATGGTAGCCACCACCTTAAAAGGAAAATACTGATTTGGAATTTTGTTTGTACGATATGTCTTCTTACTTACTGAATATCAGGACTATTTTTCTTTACTCATTAAATATGGATTAAATTTTATACAACACACATCTCGGTAGCATGGTAGTCAAAGAGGGACAGATTATAAAGATGATAATTTTATGACTAATTACTATTAAAGAATAACTTATCACAGACAATAACATCTTATTTTTGCTGTCACATTTTTTCTGCCTTTTTTTATGCGACAGCCTTCGCTCGTTAGGAAATATGACTTCAATCTTAGTAATGACATTAAGGCATGTGATGTACTTTGTGTTCAGTTGTCATTCATCTCAGGTTTACCATGTGCTTGGGTTCACCCTTCGGGTCAAGGGTCAACATGTCTTTGATCTTTCCACAATGCCACGGAGGACAAGATGCGGATGACTTAATAACCGATGATTTCTGAAAATTGTTTGCATTTTTGTCCCTCCTTCAGACTGGTAATTTGTGCCCTCATGTGGTTGGTCTTCTTCAGGTATTCCTGTAAGTTAACAGCAAGAAAGAATACAGAACAATTAACCGGTTGACTACTGAATTATCTTATTCCCATAGACTTAACACAGGGACCACCAGGTTCCAGTAAGCAATGAGTTAACCATTCAATTAATCCTGATACATAAAAAATACTGTCATCTGAACACACCCGTGATCAGGCAGAACTACGTATCTCCTCTTAGTCAATTCCATGATATTTGAAATCTCTTCTTCGTGAAATAGAAAGTATTGTTTACGATTCTTTGTTTACTTCTGAACTTTGGTACTTATCCCAAAGTTGTTTATAAGGCGAACATTATTATATTATAGTTTATCAACAAAACTACATATGTGTTGGAGGTGGTAATGGTTTATCAGGCATGAAAATGTATGTCATAGACATAAGAAAGATTAATCAGGCAAACCTATGTATGTCCAATAGAAAATGCTAATCTTACAAGAAATATAATGGGGGCTGTGTGTCCGGACTTCAACATAATAAAACTGTCACTTTTGAATTTAGATTTTTCGAAAAATTATGCATGAAAAAGCGCAAACCATCATAAATACTTGTCCTTCATAATATTTTCTTACAAATTTGTAAAGGTTTCTGAAATTATTGCATGCAAACTTCTTAAAATTACTATTTTAAATCAACTGTCTGGACACACACATCTTCATGTGACATGTTTATGACCTGAAAATGATGAAAAGGAAAACAAATATTTTATCTTCCGGTATGTATTAGGAAGTATGTGGATATATATGTCTTTAATAAATTCCACATTTTCTTTTTTAAACAGTGAAGGCATTAAGTGAAAGCTAATTTTCAACATTTAGATAGAATTCTTGTATTTTTTTCAATATTTTCATTTGTTATTTTTTAAAATTCTGTTCAGGACCATGATGTAAAACAGATTTTGTACCTACAATGTATATCTGATTCTTGTTATCCTGAATATATATATTTCAATAAAATAAATAAAAATAAAATAAATAAAACTGGAATGATGGCTTACCGTGGCATAGGGGATGCCATTATTCTTCTCCTCAGGGTCTGCATCTTTGCCAGCCCATACATAGCAGGCTTTGCCGGTATCTAAGATAAACACATCCTACATAGTAGAAATGAAAGGGAGAAACAGATGAGAAAGAAAGGAATTGAGTGAAAGAAAGTTAATAATAATAATAATAATAATAATAACAACATTTATAATGCGCACATATCCACCCCAAGATATGCTCAAGGCGCCTAACAAGGTAAGTACATTAAACTTAAGAGTTAACGACAAACACAGAAACAGAAAGATTTTGAGAGGAGGAAATTAAACATGTGGGAAAGGAAGGCAGAGGGAAAGCAAATGTAAAGATAGAAGAGAAGAAAAGTAATGGGAGAAGCATGAGGAGAAAGAAGTAAAGAAGCAAGAGAAAAGAATAAAGAACAGGAAAGGAAAAATAAATACAATTAGTTGTTTTAAAAATGATACAAGATAAAGCCAGACAGTTACAAGGCATTCAAATATGGAGGTTCATAGCTGACATATTCATTTATATATCAAAGGTCTCCCTTTTCCTTGTTGTACTGGGTTTATATTTACACTGCTGTGTACAAAAAGTGATGAAGATTTTTTTAGTATTGTTGGAAATTTGTGTTTTTCTAGTCTTCATGAAATTAACTTAATCAACTATTAACAAATTGTCAACAAAATTTTTATTGAACTGCATTGAGTCATTGAATAAAACAAACCTTAAATCTTTGATTACTGAGATTAATCTGATCAGCTTCTTATACCAAATGGTAAATTTCATTATTCTTCTAATACACAATAAAAAAAAAAATTAAAAAAAAAATCATTGAATGGTTTTGGGATGTAGATCATTGAGCCAGCTATATGAACCAGCTATAAGACCCTGTAAAATGCTGAATAGAGGGTATTCGACATCTTGTTTTAATGTTCATTAGAGGAGGGAGACGGTTACTCAATAAATTACTTTCTGATATACAGGCCTATAACAGGGCAATTTGTAAATCTGGGAACAGTCATATGTTACAACTTCTACACTGTGTACACTAGTTTTAGTAAGATGGGAGTTGGTCAAGTGGTATGGTAAGCTCTCTGTCTTCACCTACAAACTGACTCTGTTAAAGATAAAGTTGACTTCTGGTCAATGCGATTGCATTGTGAAAGAAACGTTGTGGAATCGATCAGAAAGGTTGATCATCCAGCATATGAGTTTTAGTGTGTACTGCAAGGTCCTGGAATCATCAAAATGATACAAAATTTGGCCCAGTCTTGGTACAGTTACAAGCACTGTACACAGAAAGATGTATATGGGGCTACACGAACATGTGGCATAAAAATCTGTCCCAATTTTCATGTTGTTACATGCCACATTTAGAATATGAAAGCATTTGAAGAGCCATGCTTTTCAGGGAACATTTTGAATCCGATGTTTTCCACACTTGCATAATAACAATGATAACGCCTACAAATTATTTTTCACCTCTTCCCAGAACTCAACCTTCTCTTTAAAGCCCTGTCCAAAACTTATAAAATCTGTACCCATATGTTTACAATCATATCTGATGATGTACATTATGTAAAAGACCAAATGACACAAGCAAGTTTTCACATTGCTCCTAATTAACACAACCACCCCTTATCCCTATCCCTTCCTCATTGACCCATGGACTACTGAATCCTCTCATTCCCATAGACTTTAATACAGGGATCATCAGGTTCCTGAAGGACATAGATCAACTGCTCTGTCTAGTCCCCCAGGGGCAGATCTAGCTTTTTGCCAAGGGGGGGGGGGGGGGGTTTAAACCGCCAACCCCCCCCCCCCCCCTTAGATCCGCCCCTGTCCCCTCTCAATGATGAATCAACTTACACTTGAGTCCAGATCTGATTTGCAGATACTGCTTGCCTTTGAGACTTCTGTGAAATCCAAAGCCCCAGATGAATTGGAAAGCCTGCAAAATAACACACAATATATCTCATCATTACGCTCCCTCAAGCCTGCAATTAACCCAAAGGCTTGGTACTTTAACTTCAAGAAAATCTTTACCGGGTTCTGTACCAGTTGGAGACACGATATATAACGAAACACAATTTAGATGCATCATCAATATTTTGATGCAAGTAAATAACCGTTTCTATAAGATAAGGGTTGTACAGTTCACATTTTTAATATTTACATAGGTGATTTTTCTTTTCCCCTGAAAATATTTCCTCTCAGGTGTAGATTCATGGGGGAACTCCATGACCCGCCCCATCCCCCCCCCCCCCCCCCCCCTTGGCAAAAAAAATGTTTTAAAAAAAAAATGTGAAAAAGAAACGATTGTTATGCAATTATGCGCTGTACCCCAAGAGATTATGGCGGTGTCCGTGCGCTGCCCTCTATATACCACAGCTTGAACATCTTTCAAGACATAATGTCCTTCTGGCTCTGAACAGACATGAGGCTGAATGCATTATAGTGCATTGTACATGGTAGCGAGCCATTGCTTCAGTGCCTTGTGCATGCTTGCACACATTCGTAATAGCAGTTATTGTTCATGCTCATTGGACTGTGCTATGTGTTTTGCACTCGCTATTCATAGAACCATCGCGTCATACCAAAAGACGTTAAAAGATGGGAGTTGTTGCTACCTTGTTTGGCGTTCAACAATAAGGGATAGAGCAACGTCGATCTGGCGCTGCTCAGTGGCTGCCGGGCTCACGATCAATTGGGCAAAAAGAATTTCCGTTTCGGTTTAATAAAATTTGGAGTGGACTATTAGGCTATTATTATTATTATTATCATTATTATTATTATTATTATTATTATTATTATTATCTCAAAATAAACTTGGCATGGAGGGATTTGGGGCTTCATTGGCACAATGGGGATAAGCCCTGTGGCATGATAAGAGTTAATATCAATTCACCTGTAGAGAACCCTTTCAAATGTGTTGCTATCATCCTCCTGCTCATCATCGTCATCAGCTTCACCATCGACATCATCGTCGGTGAAGTATTCCCAGAATTCATGGTCAGGTGAGATTTCATTCTCATCCAGGCTCTCTTTGGAGGCACGTGGCCTCTTTGCCGTCATAGTCTGAAACTCTTGAGCAGACTACAGGGTGCATCAAGAAAAGAGAAAAGTACATGTAGGGGTTAAATGCTTTATAAAGTACCCAAAAATGACAATTTTGTGTAAATTTTATTTAAATAAAAAACACTTTATGCCCAATTTAATGTTTAAAAAACATCAAGAGTCAAATACTAAATATTGGAACTTAATTAAGAACCACCTTACTCTTTATCAGATGAGGGGGAACCCGAGGGATACAGTTATTAAGAAAGCTTTTTCTCCTCCCAGGCAGAGGTGAAACCATTAAGTAATTAAATAATATTAACAATTATGATAGTAATGAAAACTAGAAACTTTCGCCAGAACTGTTTGTGAACTTTTGCAAGTACAAGTAGTTACAAGTTGCAAAAGCTTCTTATCAAAAAATAATTGGATCACAACTGTCACAACACTGAAGATTTGTGCAAGCCGTGACAGTAACTTGTCATCAAAATCGCTGTCGTTTACATAAAAAATCATTACTAAAACTATGAGTGTTCTGTCTAAATTTTGAAATGGTTCTGAGGTTTAATACTTTTTAGTCAATATAAATGGTGATTTTGGTCTTTTTAGAATTTTAGCATTATTTATTTTTTAAATATTCTAAACTACAACAGAATAATACATGTAGTTGTATAGAAAAAATACTGTAGTTGATTTTAATGATCAAAATGATGCAGAAAATGTTAATATTATAAAGCTAACATAGGCCTTTAAATATGTTTCATTTTATATGCCTACGACAAGTATGAGAAATTGTTATCAGTGGTTATCTCATTGAAATGCATATCAATGACAAAGGATTGACCTTTAGTACAATTAATGAATACTGTATGAAAGAACACCAAGGATATATGGAGTGGCAATATGCAACATTTCTCATCTTGATAAGTTATCTTGTTGGAATTCTTTGTTATTCGTTTAATATCTCCCTTTTTCTGATTTGAGTTTTGTATTTGATCTATTTATCTGTGTCCCATAATACATATCGTCCTTGTTTTCACGAAGTGACGGTAGTGAGGAAAATGGTAACGCAAAGTGAATGCAATTTTTTTTTCACTACCGTCACTTCGTGAAAACAGCGACGATATGAATCACCATTTTTAAAAGGTAATTTTAAACCAACCTTAAAATTAGGAAACAACTAGTATATAATAATAATAATAGGTCCATTTATATAGCACAGCTACTATATAAATATACTCTACTGCGCTTAATGTTAAGTATCATATTATTACCCTGGCTGTAGATATATATTCTCATGTACATAATGGAAAACTTGTAACTGACGATATGTCTTTTACTTTTAGCTCTTTTAATTATATATCTGAATGCATTAATTTCATGGCTTTTTACTCACAGGTATCGGTCTTACAATTTTATTTCATGGAGTTATTGGTCTTATTATTAAAGCAATTCTAATTTTTATAAAAATACTCTACTCATTTTTTTGATATTTGTATATAACTTTTCCACATTTATAAGGGTGTATTTTATCTGTATAATGATATTGAAGATCGTAGTTAGACAACATGTTTAGCGTTTGTTTATATCACTATGTAATTTTAATTTTAATGTTAATTTTTATCTTTTATATACTGTATGTATCCTGCATTGAATTGAATAGCTGAGCTGACATAATAAGGGGTTACAGCCTTCAAGGAAGTTGAGTTGAGTTGAGTTTATTGATTTCACATTTCACATGCAAAAATAATACAGATAACAAAATATACATAAAATACATATTGTTTAATGAAAAACTGAGTGTCAAAGTGGAAATAAACACCCAATTTAAATGACAATATCATCTTTGTTTGATCAAAATCGGTTCAAAGACGGCTGAAATATCCATAAAAATAACCATTTCTAATATTTGTGGTGGTACACAAATATTAGATAATTTGAAGAAAAAAAACGTTGAAAAAAGGGAAATAGCGACTTATGCGTTTTATTCCAGCCAATGCCGATGTCGGCTTTTTGTTGGCTTTTTCGTGTTGGTTATAATACGCACAACCAGCCAGCCTATGTAGTGTTATTATTAATTAATTAATTAGTCACCATATTTTTTTAAAAGTAGAGATAAATTGGTATGATTCTATTTCCTAAATTTTACACATTTTGGGGTCTAAAATTACCTTCATAGCAATTTTAGGTCCTAAAAGGGCACTAGAAATGGAGCAATAACCATGCACTTTGAGAGCATTTGCGGTCTGAAACAAGAACTCAACTATCCCTTTAAGTATAGTTATGACAATCTCTTTCTAAAGGTGTAAGTTTCCCTAATCCTCACAAAATGTCTGAATCAACCATTGTTTTAACAATTGACAATGGCTTAAAGATAAAGACTAGTTATGGTCATACGATTACATTGTGAAAGGAACTTTGTGGAATTGATCAGAAAAGGTTGATCATCTAGCATATAAATATTGGTGTGTACTGCAAGGTTCTGGAATCATTAAAATGATAAGAAATTTGGCCCAGACTTGGTAAAGTTACAAGCACTGTACACAGAAAGATATATATGGGACTACGCACACATGCACGACACATGCATTATATCTATCAGGTCCAAATAGATATAATAATTTACCAAATATATCAGTTAGTAGGCGGCTTCTCGACAAAATTTGTATGATCACGTATTAGTAAAAACATATTCTTTCACATGATTGGTAATAAGAGCTTCCATTTCATTTTTTGAGAGGGGGGCGTTTCCAAAACTGGTCTTTACCTTTAAAAATTTCTCACTTTACAGTAGTTGATTGCTGATTTATATTTGACTTACCTTGAACTTTTCGTCATGTCTACTACCGCTACCAGACCACATGAACATCTTTGTTCCAGCATCCAAGATATAGACATCGTCAGACTTCAAGCTACTCCGGCTCATTTTTTTCATCTAAAAAAATATGATAAAAAAACAGCTCGTAAAAAAAGAAACTAGGCAACAGAATCCTGCTCATTTTCTTGACTTGATTTGATTTGATTTCTTTAATATGATTTCAATCTGATATGACATGCTATTCAATAAAAATCATTGGTTCTTAAAGCTCAATCAAGACTCATTTCCTTCAGCTACCAAAAAAACCATGAGAAAGACTCCGGCTCATTTAATTCGATATTATTTGACGTCATATTTTTCTATTCAATGGCTGCCTTCTGCCATTCATAGACTTGTAAATTCAGGCAGATACTTCAATTCCATGCCTATATGTGTCCAATATGGGTCCATCTCTAGTCGGCTATTCCATTCCACATTCTCTTTCAAGCCCTAATGCACTACTGATAGCTGCTTGCGCCCTCTATATGACAAACAATGCCTAATTGGTGCATGTTGGTCCACCATGATCCCCTTTTTCTTATGTTAATTGAGAGCTGATTTAATGAGATAACAACCTGTCAGTGACCTTGCAGGGAGGTCTAAACCCCCCTGCATGGCCAAACTAGTGCAGAGAGGCTTTAATATTATTATTGTAATTATTATCATTATCCATATTATCATCTTTATTATTATTATCATCATCATCATCTTCATCGTCATCGTTGTTGGTGTTATTATGAGTATCGTTACTGTCGTCAAAAATAACGAACTGTTACCTCATTGATTTCGAGACGTGCCTTCCTTCCCTTGCCCTCCGCGTGGCAGTGGAAGAGTCTTGGGGTGTACTCCTCCGGCTTCACATGCCTGAACCCTGAGTCAGCACCACCAGACATATACCTACAAAGGAACAAAAACAATGATTACTCTGGCTAAATCTAGCTAGCTAGGCTACCAATGGATGTGTTTGTGATATTCCGTTACTTTGATCAGCTTAAATAACACTTCACCAATACATGTAATCTCCTCACAAAAAGTTCTGCAATTCAAGTTTTTAGCGCTGATATCTATCTGAATGAGAATGCTGTTCCTTATTTGACAAATTATATCCATTCAACAGCTTAATCTGTCTTATAGTTATAGCAGATCAAAAACAGACCACTAGTCAGGATCACAACAAAATATAATTACTGGAACAAACTCAAGATCAGAAAAATTTGGTATACAAAAACTGCTCAAAATGCAACTTTTTTATGTATTAGGATTCAAAATATCAAAATTACATAGAAGAAAGTATACTAAAAAGTAAAAATTTGACCATCATCTTGACCGAAATGCACATTTATAGAGCTTCATCTTAAAACCACACCATTCAACTTTTTTTTAGGGGGGGGGGGTCCCTTGTCAGAATCTATTTCAGGTTCTAAGAACATTCAACTTACACAACGCTCTTGAAGTAACTCTTGAAGAGGTCAGATTCATTACCCTGTACTTCTCTGTGCTGTACCGGTTTGTCGTCCAAGTATGTGTCCAACTCAACCGTTTTGTATGCCGCTGTTCCATACTCATCCTGAAAATTAGAAGGGAAAAAAAGAGTTTGTTTCCAGATACAAAAATACATTACTTTTCCTTCTTTACCTAACCTAACCCTAACCCCAACACTTTACCCAACTGTCAATGCATTTACAACCATAACCCTATCCCTATACATTCAATGAAATAAACCCTAGAGCAATTGTTGCCAGAAAACAACATTTCAACGCTTTTGCCCAGGATGTACCTCACACTTTTCAAGTGGTATTCTGTTTGAAATGAAGAAGAAAAATTCTTACTGGTGTGTCTTTAATTTTGTATTGCAGAAATGATTTAAAAGTATTACTACTCAAATGGCAAGCTATTGATCTAATCTAAATTAATAGCTTACTTGTAAGTGTTGACATTCATAACCTTATCTATGAAAAGTTTATAAAGGTTTTGAATGGTTAACTTGTACTAAACTGCTGCTGATGGCTTATAAGCTATCTGTTGATATATAATTGATTTATTCATTTTTCACTTCAGATAGGGTCTTTGATGAGTATCTAAAGTGAATTTCTGCCAATTTCTGAAGACATAACTAGTTAAGTACCCTCTCTTTCTAGATTTGTCAACTACCAAAATATATACTTGGACATTAATTCTTTTAACAACAACAAACAAATCAGTGATTTTAAATTTAATCGAGTTTATCATCAATTGTAAACTATGAATAAACTATAAATGTAAACTATGCAATGTACCTTTTATAGCAACTCAAATGTGTGATTATTTAGAAGCAAATGACCAAAATTTTTACTACAAAATTCATGAGAACTCTTTAAATAATGATAAGTCAACTTTTATAACAAATGTGTGTATAATACGATACAGCTTATTCTCCGTGAGATGCAATCAAGAAATCTGTTGTAAATTCATTCTCTCCGTCTCTCTCCTTTGCTATGTCTCTCTTCCTCCCTTTTCCCACTTCATCCTCCTTCTCCGCTAAACTTTACCATTACGTTCTACATTACATAAATATTATTATATTTTTAGATTGAACGAACCCCATAATTAATTTTTCATATTATAACTGATACTTCTGACTGCTAATGATCTTAGAACAAGTATATATGTTTGTATGTATATGTTTACATGTTAGGCCCTGCCTGAGTAATGTCAACGTCCTGGGCCACGATTTTCACGTCTTTATAATATGTCTATTCACTATGTGAAGGAAAGATTCCTTGTTATCTTATTTTGTATTGTTATATTGTTACATTGTATATGCTTTTCTATGGAAATAAATACTACTTTATTCACTGTATCCTTCTACTCTACATTCACCATCTCACTTGACATCCATGAATGCTTTGGTAAACATTTAGCTTACATCTGTAGCAAGGGATTGAAAACAAAATCATGCTTACCTGTGTGGAATGCATGCCAATCCAGAAATGTAAATCATAATTTAACTCCTCGCTGTCTTTTTCTTGCTATCGGTTGGGAAGAAAAAAAGGGATAGAATAAAAAGAAAACCAGGAAATTAAGATTTCACTCCATTGATCCACGTGATAACAGAATATTGATTGACAGTCCATAGGCTTATATTCTAAAGGTCATATTACAAATTGCATAGTTGGGCTGAATAATTGTTCAAATATCATGTCATAGTCATGCATATATCTTGCAATTTATAGGGTTTACACATTTCATATTATGGAAATGTGATAAGGGGGCACACCTTTGGGCACACCTTGATCATACACGTATAAGACTCACATTTTGTCCTCACACATGGGGCTTTGATTACCATTGCCCCCCCCCCCCCCTCCTCCTCCCTCTTGCAAGTATTATTATTTGTAACTATCTATGTAACAATTATAATTTCTTCTTAGGGTTCCACATACCCCTTCTGTTAATATATGCATTTTATTGATTCTCAATATTCATTGTAGAAAAATATCTATAACAGGAATGTGACACCATTAGGCTTTTTACCACAAAATGGGTATTATACAAAAATACAGGGAGTAAAAAAACTTCATCATCATGAAGTATACAATCTCTTGTGATTTAGAAGTAATTTCCAAGTGGTGTAAGCATTTTCCTGTGTGAATGATTTGTAAAGATATTAATGGGTTATTCCACCAATTCTGGGTTATGAGAACTACAACGCAATATACATATTAACTGCATGCTAGGAGTGTGTCTTGAACTCACGTAGGTGTTGAGGAGGATGTAAGAGTCGCCTTCAAAGAAGCTGCCATATTCTTCCTTGTTCCAGTTCTCCACCTTAAACTTGACGATCCTCCAGATCTGAACACCTGTTTTCTGACCGCATCCCTTCCACGCTGGTTCCGATTCTGCTGCCGCCTTCTTCACCTGAAAGATGGATAAAAAAAGGGTTTAAAATACTCAAAATTTAATAGGACCCAGTGGCGTGATCAGGTTTCTTCTTACAGGGGAGGGGGGATAAAGAAGGGAAAACACATGGAACAAAGTGTTAGGTTTATTGCCATTTGGTCCAAAGCCATGTGGTCCAATAACCAGATCATCTGACTTCATTTGGTTTATGTTGACCCAAACCATCTAACTGCATTTGGTCTATACCCAAACTGTCCACCTTCCAGACCATCTAACTTCATTTGGTCTATTAAATTTGGTCTACCGTATACCCAGACCGTCTAACTTCACTTGGTCTTTACCCAAACCGTCTAACTTCATTTGGTCTATTATACCCAGACCATCTAACTGCATTTGGTCTATACCCAGACTGTCCAACTTTATTTGGTCTTTACCCAAACCGTCTAACTTCATTTGGTCTATACCCAGACCATCTAACTTCATTTGGTCTATATCCAGACCGTCTAACTGCTTTTGGTCTATTACCAAGACCGTCTAACTTTATTTGGTCTATACCCAGACAGTCTAACTTCATTTGGTCTATTATACCAAGACCGTCTAACTTCATTTGGTCTATACCCAGACAGTCTAACTTCACACAGGCACATACATGTAGAGAGAAAGGGTGACAGAGTAAGAGATAAGGGATAAACGTTGTTTCTGGCTCTCAGTAAAGACAATGGAAATTAATACAATCCTGGAATGAAAACAAATCTATCTTAATTCCATTGTGATTTACCTCCTTTTCTGTATCTGACCCAAAAAGGGCAAGATTTGAGTCTTGCCAGTCGTATTTTTTGGCCTTCTGCATGTTGTGTTGAGCTCAGTGCAGTGTTGAAATTCAAGAGATCTGAATCGGAAGAGAAATATGAAGAAAGGAAATATCATTATTTATAGTAAATTTAAAATATGAACATTCATTTCTCTCTCACAATCTTCTCTGTAGATCTAAAGCTCATTCATACCAGCTGCAAAACACTGCCTTAAAAGAAATGCTATAACAAAAAGAGATACATTTCCATGTAAATAACTCCAAGCTCCATTAATTGCTTTAGATAAGACCCTTTCATAAAACCTGATGGTTTGTATTATATAGTGTGGTACGGTATGTCACTGAAACAGCTCCCGTAGGATTTTTGTGCCAAAGTTGATTTTTTGCATTTTTGGATTCATTGGGGTCCAAGCTATCAGAAATTGATGGGGTTCAAATTTTCCTGAAGACACCAAATTTCCCTATTGCGTGTTATATATGCCATTTTGGCGCCCAATATGGACCCCCAGGAAACGAAGGAGGGGTCTGAAAATTTGAACCCCATCATATTGGCCAATTGGGACCCTTTTGAAGCCAAAACAGCAACAACAAAAAAAATCAACTTTGGCAAAAAAATCCTACAGGATTACATACCATACTGCACTATTACACCATTACAAAAACCAGATGTATCACAAGTTTGATTGACAGTAAATGTTTTTGACCTTTCAAATTCTCAGGAAAGCACAAGTGGCATGGAAATTAAAAGATCATATACAGTAGATATTGATGTACAAGACTACAAGTCTCTCCTCTACGAATACTCTACAACAAGAAACTTTGGGCTAAATAAATGTTTCACAAGCAAGAGTTTTATGCTGTAAAATAACTGAATCACAACTGACATGGCAAGAATTATTTTATAATTGGTGAAGTTTATTGCTGTTCATTTAAATTGTAAAACTTCTAACCACTCTTCATTATACCAATGCTCTTGGTTTCAGCTGAAAGAAATATATACAGGAGTGGTCCAAGGACTGAGGGGTGGTAAACTGAAGGGGGAAAATGGTTGAAAAGAATTAAATGTTCAAGTACATGAAGATTACTGTGAGAAAATTACACTAAAAATCCAAAAAGAGCTCCCATAAACTATATCTTACACATTTTCATTTTGTAAACTGATTGTCAGGGGCCTTTGTATTGTACTGCATGAAGGTACTGTAGGCTACCTGTACACGTGAAGGCCTGCATATTGACTATATGCATGCATATATCACAAGACTGAAGCTAAATAGTACCAAAATTTAGATTCCCCCTCTCTTTCTCTCTCCCCCCCCCTCTCTCTCTCTCTCTCTCTCTCTCTCACCCGAACTCTTTCCCTCTTTTCTGTAGTTGTTGCCTCTCCCTTCTCCCTTTCATAAAGATCCTTGGAGCAGAAATAATATTTGAGCCATGAAAAAGAAAAATATTCCATTATGCTTCTGCTGAATGGCACCCTTCAAATAATAACATTTCTTTAACCCTGCATTCAGACTTCTAAGATTGATTGTTTAGCTATACGAGCACCATATATAGCTATATGATAAGTGATGACCTTTTTTCTAGCCTGAATGACGTATAAAGAAATTTCCTACAACAAAACACGATTTAGCATCGTTTCGAAAGAAAGCTTGAGTCTGAATTTCATATCATACACAAATTGTATAACAGGGTTTAGCTTATTATGAGCACACACTGATGATTAACTAGCTTTCTTGACCTCTTCAAAATTAGTTTCTTTATACAATATTGTTTTCTAGTCTGTATGCTCCTTTTACTATACATTTAGTCTTTCATACCACGTTCTTATACAAGTTTTGTGTATATTTTCTTTGGTCCGAATAGGTCTATTAAATTGAAACCTGACTGCTGACAAGTAGCCAGGGTCAAGAATATAGGTCTCTCAACACAATGGAGCAATTTAGACCTAGATAAATATTACTCTCTTCTTTTTTTCTTCATCTTCACTATTCAAATAATAGTTTCTTTCAAAAATGAAATGTAAATGATTTGGTTTAAACTAGCTTACTAGCATAGTCATACTTAAATGTGTGTACATTTTGTTTGTTTTTACCAAAAAGTTATTTCACCCAGATTTAAAAAAAAAATCACTCATCTACATAATACATCATTTCGTCGCTGTTTTCACAAAGTGACGGTAGTGAAAAAAAATTGCATTCACTTTGCGTTACGATTTTCCTCACTACCGTCACTTCGTGAAAACAAGGACGATTTAATGATTATGTATAACTGTAATCAAATATGTCCCACCTTACATAGCAAAATAATGTTTATTAATACCATTACTCATTACTAATATTACTATCATAACTGTCCCATGTGCTCTTATATGATCACTATAGTTCATGTGACATTTGCTTGTAACATCTCTTTATATTTGTGCTTTAAAAAATAAATGTACGTAAAAATACGTATAGATATAGACATTTGGAGATTTCCAAGTTCTTTTTCCAGCACTGAATTACATGTACAATCAGGCTCCTATAATTCCACATGTCCCAGTCTCAACACCTTACAGCATGACGAGGTGTAAACATACAAGTACACTATAGACCTCTCTTCACTATCTTGAGATTGCCAAATATCCAGCTATTTGAACTATCCCGATCTCAAACTATCCAGCTAATTTGCGTCTTCATCAGACCGAAGTAGCAATTAGCAGGATATTTGGTCGGGATTGTCATCCCAAGATATCTTGGGATAGTTTGCAAAATATCCAGCTATTTATCTGGTGCGACTTCACCAGACCGAAGACTCGCACTATGCGCTAACGCCGAGCAAAATATCTCAAGCTAATTTCTCAAGGTCAAGTTTCAAGTTTCTAGGTCGAATCTCGAGCTAATGAGGACGCGATTTGTAACTTCGGGATTATTTCCCGAATCAGAAAAAGCAGGCTATTTGGCAATCTCGAGATGATGAAGACGCGCCTTGTGTTCTGCAAACCTTAGCCTCAGGCCATTGTACGTTGCACATATTAGCATAACATTTCTTTCACACAGCATATATGTAGACAAACATACCCAGAGTTTGCTAGCTTGCATAGTAGAATACACCTGGGAGAAACATTATATTATATTGAACGCCAAGAGTCAAAAGTCATGAACTTTTCGAAATGCTTTCTCCAAGACGTCAAAATGCATTAGTGCTTCAATATAAAGAGGTCCAATTTCATTCAACGTCTCCTGACAATATAAGAAATCTCAATATTGTTTACATTTCTCAAGGCTAAGTCCAGAATTCATGAACCTGTATATTCATGTATTCTATAAGTTCTTCATGTAAACTAATACAAGTATGCATAAATCTATACCAGCCCAGCAAAGACTTATTATATAACTGATATCAGTTTCCAGTACCAGCAATTCTCTTGCATAGTCATTGAATTACATTGGATACTAATATGTTTGCGATTACCTTGGACACAGACAATTCTGTCTATTGAGAACTATAATGGCGTTATAAACTCCTATTTTAATAGTTCAGTTCTTGTATAGCACATAATACGTTATGAAATAACATCTCTATGCGCTTCCAAAGAGCTTTAGACTTAATTATCCTAGCTTTAGCTTTAGCTCCGACAGCCTATCACTGATATCAGTGCACAGTGCATTTCAAGGAATAATCCTACTAGGTACCCATTTACTTCACCTGGGTTGAGTGTGGCAAATGTAGATCAATGTCTTGCTAAAGGACATTAGTGCCACGGCGGGACTCGAACCGCGGACCTTGTGATCGACAGTCGGTGATGTATCCACTCGACCACAACACCTCTATTCTACTGATGATTGGTTTAATGAATGTTAGATTCAAAGTATTATAAAAACCTAGCTAATGCTTCACTGTACCTCTATGTTTTTGCAAATAAATTTACACAATATCTATGGACATGCATGAGAGGTGCCAAAGTGTAATGATTAGGCCAATGCATTCACAGTTCTGATGCATGCAATTATATTCCTGAGTTGTTGCATTAGTGTCAAGTTGGTCGTTGTGGAAGGGGTGTGGAAACTCTCACTTCTCTGCGTATACGATCACGAACAGAGAGAGAGAGAGAGAGAGAGAGAGAGAGCAGCAGACTAAATGCCATAATTTTCTTTCTCATTTGAGATGAAAAAAAATTCCCTTTAGTAATTGGATGTATAATTCTGAAAAAATTGCATGAGGTTTATGTCATGTAGCATCAATGACTTGCTATCAAGATGGAAGGAAACTACTTGTTTTTTTATCAATGTATCAAGAAAGATCAGACCTGAAAACACACTTGGTTTTGTAAAATCAGTAATCTCAGTCATCACTCCCGACCTTTCCCCATCAAATTAAGAGTATATGACAGAAAGGGAGAAAGAAAGAGAGAGAGATGGAGAGAGAGGGGGTAAGTGAGGGAGAGAGAGAGAGAGAGAGGGAGGGAGAGAAAGAATAAGTGAACTTGAAGGAAGCATAAGGGGTGAAACTTTCTTACTCATATCGCAACAGGCAAACAGAGGGCATCATATTGCCATGGCGATGGCAAATGTTTGGTTGGAGTACGCAAACAGGTTTCCATATATGGCAACAGGGGGCCCCCATGAGTGCATGGAAAAGTGGGCTCGGGAATCCATATATCAATGAACAGCATGGCTGGAAACGCAGATGAGTTTATTTGCAATTATCCTCAAAATCCAATTGCCCACTATTGAAGTTGTCTTGGGGCAGCACATTTTCAATCCAAGGTTTATTTTTCGAAAAATATAGAATACAATGATGCACATGCTGCAGGCGCTTAAAAGCTGAAATGTACTATGTGTTTATAACCATTGAGGATACATATAAAAAGAAAAGAATATCTATTCACAAAACAATTCTAGTATTCGAGTAAATATAATACCAATTTTTATGCTTCGAAGCTACCATTATTAACTTTATTATGGTATTCACTTTTATTACTAATGCTCATATCCTTTAGAATTTTCACACGTTCCTATTATTTTATTAAAATGATCCTCTTGAAGTAGCAAGGACGCTACCATGTTTTGAGGTTTATTCTGGCTATAGTTTTAACC